AACAAGAAGAGAGAAAGGCTCGATAAAATCGACCACGTCCTCCATCAACATCAATATGGAGTCAGGTCATCGCTGCTTCCATACAAGAAATGATTGGTCTACTTGGTCATGAATGTCATACTCATAAAGGAATCGATCAGAAAAAAAAAAAGAAATTAAATTATTGGATACAAGATAAAGACGACGACGACGACGACGAAATCTATGATCGGGAACATTGTTTTCAAATAACACCATAAATCGCTTCTTGCCTGAAACTTTTATTCACCATTTTGCATCGTAAATTGTTTATTGCATTTTTAGTCTTTACTTTCAGTTTACATGTGAATTTATATTTTTGTTGTGTTGCTATGTGCATGATTATTTTTATCATATAAAAACAAACACACGATTCAAACCTTTATACATTTTATTTACTTTTGTATAACATAGATGCAAAAAATAACCAGTGATTCACGGTAGATTGATAGTTCGATACAAGACATTTGAGGATGCGTGACCGCCATCTTGAAAACCCATTTCTTCTCTGTAGTTCTAGAGAGCTCCTAACAAGGGGTATAACTTGTTTCCCATTTAGGGAGCGAGTTATCTTCTTTGTTATGACGTCCGTCCTAACAATTTTAAAATTAAAAAAATAAACATTGTTCGTTTTGTCTGGCGCCGATGTAATCCTTGTGCTGCAAATAGCAACGATTCTAATTTATAACTCAGATAATTGTGAGACTAGGTGCCTAATAATTATCCGAAAAGAAACGAGTATATAGTTTCGGAAAGAATAATAAAATATATTTTATAGACATTAATTCAAAGTAATTACTGGGGGAAGGGAAACTGGTAAATCCCTCATTTCGTAAAGACGTAGATCACCACATTTAATGAAAATCGTATTGACAAATTTAAGACAGATCGGAAATGAAGATTATTACGTTAAACTGTATAAAATTTCAAATAAAACAAATGGACCTGCCTTTCTTGGCCCATATTAAGATGATTTCAGGAATTAGTGTTAAAAGTGTAATCTGCACCGTAATTTACATTGTACGCCTAAACGTGACTAAGAAATTTTTCAAAGCTTTACTGCTTAAATGATCCTATCAATTTTGACGGGTACTATGTTAACAGGTTTGTCAACATTGGCTTTTAAAAATCACCCGAGTATCACGGAGAGATGGGTGTCTCATTTTTCTTTCTCCCTTCCGACACATACAATCTTTAATTTGCATTTCCAGCTAATTTTATAGTTAACAATGTAGAAGTGTACCAAGTAACTTTACACAAACTCGGTGAATGATTTGTTCTATTGTTTATCTAATTTTGTTTAGGAAAAAATACAAAAGCCAGTTCATTATGGTCCATGTGATTCGTACGAGTGGTTTAAATCGGAAGACATTAAACCGACGATTTACTGAATTATTCTTTGTAGTATATGATATCATGAATCAGTGTTGTGAGGGAGAATATTTTCATACCATTTTGAACTCGGCCGTCGGATAAAAGACATAAAAAACATTCCTACATCAAGAGGAGTAGCAGGAGGAGCAGTAGCCTTTGCTGAAAACAGTCATTCACGGCTAAACATTCTCTTCCCTAGTTTCCATTCTACATTATGTTTCCCTGTACCAAAAGGTAATGAACTTTTTGTTAAACCAATTCCAGTTTTCTACTGTTGTTTTTGATAACTCACTCACAACTATCATATATATAGAATAGACAGTTCAATGTATTCTTTCGCATTAAAGATTATAGATAGAAAGCAAATAATAAAATAGTAAAATTATGTATCGAAATTAACCAGTCACCACAATTTACTTATATATATATATATATATATATATATATATATATATATATATAGTCAGTCGTCGACTCTCCCGTCGATTTCGACGTATGAGGATCAAGCAAATCAGTTTTCAGGAGACCGACAGCCCGACAACGACACATAAGATTTGATATGTATATATATATATATATTATATTTACCATGGAAATAGGTATTCACAATAAATTTGGAGTAAAATCATAATTTTATAAAGGAAACCCAATCTAATTGAAAAACATACCGTGGTCAAGAACTAATATGTATGTAAACTAAAAAGAATAGCTCTATTATATTGATAACATATATGCTTTGTTAAGTCATTTCCTTTGTATGGGCACGTGGGCAAGTGGTTCGAACGTTTCGTTTCCGTGTTCGAATCTCATCACAGTCGAATTTGTTTTTCTTTTTTAGGAATGTGGCTTCTTGATGTTATCAGTCTTGGGGTGGTGCGATCCTAGCATGCGGCAACTTTAGAAAGTGTCTGATAACCTTTGCACGGAATGACCCAAGCCTTGTGAGTGAAATTGAGCAGACGTAACTGGAAACTGCCAATGGTTGTGCTAGCATGAAATCACAGGTCATTGTGACCGAGGTTTTCAGCGTGCTGTTGATCACGCCGGATAATGCGCGCTCTCCCTGAAAATGAAACTAAGGTCTGCTCAGCATAGTTGCACTATAAACCACATGTGGGTGTTGAAGAAACACAGATGTGCCTGAGAAGGCGTCTGCAACAGGGATTGTCTAGACGTCCTAGTAACCAGGGGCATTCATCGGATACGAGCGGTCAGCAATTATATATTTTCCTATAGAAATGAATAGAAAATCTCAAAGCTGAGAATTGTATAGTTGTGTAGGTTTACACACTTGTGTTCATTATTTTGATATAGAAGCTTGATTTTGATGTTTTCTTTAAACAAAGGGCATTACATATTACCGGCCTGCGGAATCACATTCAAGAAAAATGACTCAGCCGAATGGGGTGTTTATTTCAAATACGATTATCCACTAATAATAAAGTTTGAATTAATAAAAATGTCGAGTTAAAAATAAATCCATTAATACTTCTGACTGAGACTGAAAGTTATAACAACACTGAGGGTTAGGAAATTGAACGCCGTAATTCGTTAAATAATATAGCTGTTCATACATATACGCGAGAAGTGTAACGGTAAGCTACTCGGAAAGATAGACTAGAGAGCAGAGTTCGAATTCCAGTCGAGTTCGTTACATTAATTTTCGCACACGTCGTTTAGGAAAAGTATAAGCCCATCACTTCTCCCCCAAACTACAGGTTAAATATCTGTGATCTCGTAGCTAGAAGTAGCGGTCAGTGTAGGAGGGAGGAAATTCTTAATTGAAAATTAGCTTGAAAAGAGATGGGCTACCTCAGGCTATCTTGCTAAAGACGCACCACTAATGCTATTGCTGCAGTACATGATGTGCGCCAACGACGCTAACTGGTTATAGGACACACGATGCGACGTGGCAGTAATTGTTTACCCTCCAGAAAGGAAGCACCGCTTACTGTTAAGATTTAAAACTGATCTTCTTTAATCTGAACGTGTATATTTACGATACAATGATGACAAAACTTAACGATATTCTTTCGGATATATGTACCAAAAGAATTTTTATAAACAATGCATTATGTTAAGGCGCAGAGGAAATAAGGGAAACAGTTGCTTATGAGGAATAAAAGCAAATATTAGTGAAAGAATAAGAATTCTATATCTTTTTTGTGGCGTTTCTCTTCAGCACAGGGACGATCGTGGTTCCCCATAAGTTCCAATTATTTGCAGCTCTAAGAACCGTTTGATACTTCATCGCCCCTGTTTGTTCTCTACTTTGCCAGATATTCGCATTATTATAATGCAATATATTATACGGTAGATTAATTGCCGTTTAGTTGCTGTCCTTCCTGTCATCTATCCTCAACTATCTCTTTCCGATTTCAAATATTAGTGTCCTAATAGTAACCATTTTCTTTAAACTTTCCTTGCTAAAATGAATAATACAAATCAATGACTAATGGTTTCAGTATAAAAATATTTTTAAGTCGTAATGGTACGAATCCAGAAACATGACAGCGAAAAATCTGCTAAAATTTATAACCTTACGTTTATTTTGTGCAATATTTACATGCTGATTGTTTGTTGTTGTTTTCACAACGTTTGTGGGGTATATTGGTCTCGTTCCAGTGTCCATATCCAGGGTTATGTAATACTTCCGAGTTCAATCCCTGGGCCGAGTAGTGTGTTCTTGGGCTCGTTGCAAACAGGATAAGCAATAATTGAGCAGTACTAGACATTGTCAAAATGATCTACCGCTCTAGAATAAAAATAAAGTTTAATTTCGAAATTTCCTAAAGGTTACCCAGATCGACAATTAACTGATGAAGGCGGGACAACACAATGGACGAAAAGTGTTACGGTTTTTTGTGTATATAATATATATAACTAGTGAGCGAGTCAGAATGACTTATTTCCCTTTATATTCTACCAATAGAAGATTAACAAATCAGAAGCCGCAGAACACTGTATCCGTCGTGTATAAAGGCGGTTATCTTTGTTTTTCCTACCGGAATGACCAGAGCCAACTTGTCAGGCTAAGAAGACAGAAGGAAGAACTACGCTCTGCTGTGATATTCACTGCCAACCTCTGGATTCTATACTCGAAGACGACCGTCATGAAAATCTCTAACAAAAAGTTGTGATAAAAACAACAAAAATAGGGACTATAGTCCACATGTAAATAATATAATTAAGGATAAACTCATCAACCCAGAAATTCAGACAGAAATGTATGTTTATTGAACTTATTCCCCGTACCAAATAAATTATTTTGTTTCTTGTATTGTAAATTTAAACTCGTGAAGAGATGTAGGGTAAAAACATTCGAATGTGTTAGGGGTGAGTATAGATGTTTAAATCTGGATTCTTTCGGCCCGATGGGACTTACAGGGTCATTCGGTGGTTCTGTCACAAACGCTGCGCTCTTGTGATTGGCCCAGTGAAACATCGCCACACTTCATCTCTCCTGGGCAGCATTGTCTCACATTAAGTTTACGACTGTCTTGCTTGAAGGCGTTTGATTCGACTAGCAACCAATCACCAAAGTTCTTGACACGAACAAAACTAACAAAGTTCTGAAAAACGAATTTTTTGCGCGGCAAACTATTGAGGCCAGACGGATGTCATGCGAGACAAAAAATGCCCCGGGTAAACTTGAAAGACATAATGAAGACTTACGTTTATCTATCTATCTATCTATCTATCTATCTATCTATCTATCTATCTATCTATCTATCTGTGTGTGTGTGTGTGTGTGTGTGTGTGTGTGTGTATAAAACTGCATAGGTTTAGTTGTAGTTTGTGGGCAAATAAATAAGAGATTGTGACTGTGATTATGAAAGATAATGGTACAAAGAATTCTTTTTCACACGCTTGCTTTTTATTTGTAAAAGCAAAATTCAATTTGCAGATAACTCAAGTAGAACTCTTTGATGCTTTCCATTCTGATTCATTCTTTGTGGGAAGCATATTCATGAGAAACAGACTGTTAAACTAAAACGTTTGTATGATAAGTGATGCTTAACTACACACACACACACACACACACACACACACACATATATATATATATATATATATATATATATATATCCAAAAGAGAAAGAACAGATGAAATAAAATTCCACTGTTCGTAGCATTTACTTTCTAAAAAATGTGCTCAATACAAAGTATAGCAATATATTATTATTATTTAATTTTAGATATTAGAACAAAAATATGTTGAAGTCACAAAACAATAGCTTCTCTTCAGGTGATAAGAACAATAAAAGAAGGGGAATCAAGAAGACAGAAGATAATGATTGTTATTTAAATTTCTGAAGATCAATATTTGTAAAGCAAGAAGCTGAAAGACAGTTCCACAAGCAAGAAATACGAGAAAAAGAAACGTTGGCGAATAAATTACGGTTACATGTAGACTATTCAACTGTAAAACGAAGAGACTAGTACTGGGCTTAAATTCATAAAATCTAGTTACCATAATGGAAAGTTCATCAGGACAATTACCATTAGCTATTTATAAAAAAAAAATGCGCAGGGAGGCTGCGGTGGTGGGAAAATGATTGAAGCCAGGTTACCATGACAGGATCGAACAGTGCTGGACAAAAGTACCCCAAGCCCAAGTTAACCTGTGTTAAATTTCCTTATTTCTTATAATGTATTATAGGGAATTTGTTATAACTGATCCACACAACGAATTGAAAGAGATACGGCCATTTGTTGGGCAAGGAAATATAGAGTGGATGTAGTTGCATGACAAATTCGTCTGTTATATTGTAAATGCTACCTGGTAAAGAACGGGATATCGACAATCGACAAAATAATCAAATGAAAACCAAAACCATCCTTTTTTATGAAGGAAGGAACAATTTAAATGAAATTATTTTCATGATTCAGTGAAATTTTTGCATCGTGTTTTCCCATTAATCATTGAGGTAGCCACTGATTCCACGATAATTATTTAATTCATAATTGTTGTTATTAATCATCATTGTTAACCATTTTGCATAACCAAATAATTACTGGGTTAATGATTATGTGTAAACACGTGATTAAACTACAATGCATGTGAAAATATTACGATCCCTGCTGGATTAGTATGCTGCAAGTGTCTGCTTTTTCTTCAATCAACAAGGTACATTAGTCTAAAAGCAAACTTATATTAAAAGAATAATTATTATTTTAATCATTATTCTTATTATTAGTCAATTATTCATAATTAGTTTTCAAATACACATTGCTGTAACAATATATAGGGTGCAGCAAAAGTAACGGCATTTTAATTTATTTACTTTTATTTATGATGGCTTAAGATTAACTCGGGCTTACCCGTTCGGGAATGGTTAAATATTAATTACATGCTGAGGTCGATAGGACGGCGCGGAGCAATTAAGTGGCCATTACCAGACGTAGCACCGGCATTTTTTCTTATGATTTCGACGGCAAGATGTTGTTTACAGGCTCAAAATGAAAACAGCTCCCGAATTAAATCCGGCACTTTCCGATAAACTTTCTGAAATTAAAGTAGAAATGTGACAAATGGTTTGGAGAAGTGAACATGAAGGGGGAGCATTTTGAACATGATAAATAGTTTGTTAATCATAACAAATCATGTAAGAGTTAATAAATAAAAAAGCGTTACTTTTGCCCCAACCTATATATATATATATATATATATATATATATATATATATATATATATATATATATATGAAGAGTGTTTCACTAAGACGGATCAAAGTCAGCAGTAAATAATTCAGTGTTATTGGTGAAAATCAATGGTGAAAATTTTGATGACCTCTCTGCATAGTTGCTCCTCGATTTCATCAATATGCTTTATTATCTTATCCTTCAGCTGTTGAATTGTTGTTGGCTTGTTGGCATAGACATTACTTTTGAGATGACCTTAAAGGAAAAAATCTAAAGACGTCAAGTCACACGACCATGGTTGCCAATTGACTTCGCTGTTTCGAGAGATGATACGACCTGGGAACTTCTCATTCAAATTCTGTTGGAACGTCCATTTTCGTAATAAACTTCGATAACTTTAACACCTTGTTTGATTGTTAATCTTTTCGTGGTTAAAATTCCCTAAGACTTAAGGTTGTTAAATCTGAAAGTAAAAGAAAATAAATCATTAGGCGCTTAAACTTAATTCACATTTAAAATTGGTTCAAATTATTGGGACACCCTTTATATATATATATATATATATATATACAAATGTACAAGAACGAAGAATAGGATTTCAGGGATAAAAACATTAATTTAAAACAGGGCTCAATACAAAAGTAGAGCAATAAATAAATATTTCTTTATAATGCAGTGTTATGTAAGAACATACAAAAACCCACTACAAAACTGTACATCTTGTTTCAACGTTAAATTTTTTTAATGTTTCATCAGATGGGAAATCACGATGCTACTAAAATATTTTATTCCAAAACACAGTTAGCGAAGCACGTCTTCCACTTCCGTTATTGGAAAGTTTCCCATAAAATGTAAAAACGAATTTACACGTGGAGAAAGAAAGGAAGCTAAGTGAATAGTAACAGAGAGAGAGAGAGAGAGAGAGAGAGAGCGAGAGAGAGAGAGGGAGAGAGAAGAGAAATAAGAGGAAAGTGGCCAAGAGAAGGAAATAAAGGTTGAGAAAAAGGTGGGGGAGGAAGGTGAGATAAACTATGAAGGGACAAATTCAACCAATGGTATTCTGTGGAATCATAAAATTCGAATGTTAACGGTAACACCGCGAGAGACTGCTAATTTTATGTCTATTCTTTTTACGAATGAACGAACATTTTAAATTTTTAAATTTCTATATTATTTTATTAATATATTGATATTAATTATAAAGTATTATTAAAGAGGGTAAGTAACAATGTTTAAAACAAATAATGGATAAATAATAAAAGAACCCAAAATAAAATTACGATTATCATATGTTACGGTTAACTTACAGAAGTAAGAATAAAGTAGAATATATTTTAGGTCTAGAGTTAAATTTCAAAGTAAAATTGAAATAAAAAATATAATAAAAATACAACTAAGATATGGTTACGATGCTATGTTTATAAACATAATAAAGATAAGAGGATTCATTCGTAGATTAGAAATTTCTTTAGAAAGATTGAAAGGTTAATTCCTTTGTATGTTTACAATTTATTGCCGTTTCATATCTCCGATTCAACAGATTGTACTTGTTCGAGTATTTAGTTATTTGTATTTTTTTTACTGCAGGCAGAGAAAACACGGTTCGTTTAGTGACCTCGAGATTCTAGCTTGTTTTTAGGATTTTCCATTTAACTTTGGATGTTTTATCTTTGTCTTTTAATTCCCCGAAATACTTAGAAAGTCATGCTTCGTTTATCTGCGTTATTAAAAATGAGATATGGCTATAAAAGCGCTTTTTGAAATCATTCATTGTATCACCGATGTAAAAGCGTTCAGAAGTCCTGGGATATTTAACAGAGTTAATAGTACACAGGTATATTATGTATTTTTGTAAACACCTGCTGGGTAACCTGCACCAGTTGGAATTTTTACAAATACACAGCTTATTTGTAAGAGACCAAGTAGGATCAGCCCTTGTATGCCTGTTACTCTTGTTATATAGTTTTAATATTTTAGTGTTATGTGATTTAATTATTTTTTCTAAATTATTTGCGCAACTATAGCTAAGTTTTAGAGTATTCCGGTTGAAACTATTCCGCAGATAGCTCTTTTTAGGGAAATGCTTTTCAAATACTTCTAAGAATTTATGTCCTAATTTAGTGTTAACTAATTGATTGTATGGAGAATTATACCATATGGCCCTCTTTATTCTGTTTATCTTCTTGGAATGATCATAATTTTTCACAAATTCAATTTTTGAAGATTTAAAACCACTATCCTTAAGAATTTTATCATAGATCGTCTTATGATTTTTAAAATTCCATACTAATAATAATGGTAATATTCCCTACAAGGAAACATTTAGCATTCATTCGCCGAGCAGAATGTACTGCTTTTGGTTGAACTTTATAAAATCTATCTTTAAATATTCATCTGCCAAGGTGAAAGAAAACTTCACAGAAAACCTCAGCTTCAGTCACTTTCCCACCGCCGTCACGTAGCTTTCCTGTACCATTTCTATGAATATATTCGTGGTAATTGTTTTTGATGAGCTTTCCACTTTGGTACTTAGACAGACTTCATGAATTTAAGAACAGTACTAAATTGCGGTCAAGGTCTCATCATTTTACAACTGACATTTTTAGATGTAAATTATAAGTTCTAGGCTAATCGCACTTCTCGCTTGTGGATCGCTCTTCCATCTTCCTGATATTGAGTTTCAAAAGTTTAAATGCAATGTCAGTAGTTATTTCCTGTCGTCTTAATTCCTATTATTTAATTGTTCTTTCTTTAATAATGTTTTTCTTTTTCTCATATTATTTCACGCTCAGTAACCCCCACCCCTAGCGTCTTTGCAGCATTATTGCCTTGCTTGGATGTGAAATTAACAAGAAATTGTATAATTCACTTATCCACACATATATATCCAACAAAGCCTACACTATCTCTCTCTCTCTCTTTCTCTCTTTCTTTCTTTCTCTAAATATTTATATATATATATATATGAATAAAGACAACAAGAAAACATTTCTTTGTGAACGCGCTTCGTCATCTGATGAACTTTATCACGGAAATTTTAAAGATTTTATTTTTCAAGATACTTATAAGCAGTAGTAGAAGAATATTTTCCCTTTTGTCTCAATTCATATTTTACAGTAATATATTTTTTCATATCTGAAATTTAGGCACGCACACGTATACGCACACACACACACACACACACACACACACACACACATATATATATATATATATATATATATATATGTATATATATATATACAAACATGTTTCATTAAAAAGAACAAACAGTATCTGTATATTTAATTTTTTATTTATTTTTCCAATTTTCGAATAAGATATTGAATGTTGTGCTAGAAGTTTTGTAATTTCAATGTCTACACCCTGATCTTCTTGGGAAAGATGTAAGTTTGAAATTGTCTGTGGTGATGTCATCTGTAACGGTTATTGGGAACGAGACCGCACATAAAGAATGCGATAAATTTATCCATTTTTTTTATTTATATTCTGTCTACTTTATTTATTTATTTGTAATTTATATATATATATATATATATATATATATATATATATATATATAGATATACGATGTGTGACGATTTAACAGGGAACGACCTTAGCAGAATCAGAATAATGTAGGAGTTTTAAAAGTATTTTCAGTGTATGCTTCTTCTCAATGTACATACTGAGATCGACAAATTCTCAGTGCATTAAAGTAGAATCCAGATGATTTGAATAATTTATCGCTGCTTGACATTCATTTTCCCATTATTATGTTTCTCATCACATATATAGATACCTCAAAAGATTTGCTAAAAATGGCCATACATAAAGATAAAAATAGCAGAAAACTTAATAAAAGCAAAGATTTATCGTCAAAATATTTATGCTATTATTAAGAGGAAAAGATCAAAGGCCTTTTGGATTATTAAACATTATTTTTTATCCTTTTTAGAATGCCCGAATTTTGATTAATTTCTTTTTATGGCATCAACGGGTGGCCATAAATTCGTATAGGAAATTTTAGCATTGTTTTTGTGTGAAAAACACTGATTTGGGAATTCCGGAAAAAAAAATCAAATAATTGTTGGATTTTAATGAAACGTTCAGAACTTATTTACAAATGAATGAAATTATTTCGGAAATGTTTCTTTCTTTAAGAAAGTGTTGGTAAAACATTTTTTACATCTGTTACCCCCACCTCACTTATTTAATTTTATGAAATATACGAAAAATTGCTTTTTGTACACCTTAATGTTTATATTAATTATAAGCCTAGTAGAATTTTAACCATAAGTTCTATTTTTGTGAAACAGGACCCAAAATAAACGAAAATCTACTCTAAATCATAAAATAAAAAATGCAATAAAACGATGACGTATTTGTCTATATTTCTGATATGAGGTATTATGTACACTATTTACATTATTCGGACTATTGTCCTCATCTTTGTCGCCATATTTTTTGCAACGCTTCGGCCTTTCAATATCTGTCTATATTTCTGAGATGAGGCATTATGTAAACTATTTACATTATTCGGACTATTGTCCCCATCTTTGTCGCCATATTTATTACAACGTTTCGGTCTTTCGGTATCTGTCTATATTTCTGAGATGAAGTATTCTGTACATTCTTTACATTATTCGGACTATTTAATTTTATGAAATATACGAAATCTTTGTTGTCATATTTTTACAACTTTTCGGCCGTTGTACGCTCCGGCCTTCTTCAGGTGGTTGGAAAAACATGGCACGTGGAACTAGAACAGTCTACCCCAGTGAGCGAAATAAAGGGTTCAGTTCGACATTCCAACCACTTGAAGAATGCCGGGGCGTACAACGGCCGAGACTTTGTAATAAATATGGCGACAAAGATGAGGACAATAGTTCGAATAATGTAAATAATGTAAAACTATGACGTTATTTAATTAGCAAAGCTAGAATTGCTTTTATGAATAAGATTTAGTATGGACAATAATGTTTCAAGAAAAAAATTGAATTAATAATGAATTTTTAGAATGTTTGTTTATATTCATGTAAGTCTGAATTATAATAATTTATAAATTTTTACATCTTTTAAATTTCCGTATTAATATTTACCGGTTGGGTGATTTTGCTATTTCGTAAAAACTATACTTACATAATGCATTATAAATTTATAATTATTATATTACGTTATAAGTGGAAAAGTATACTAAAATTCAGCCACCTCAGTATTTCTAAAAAGAATTTTTAATTTTTTATATATAAACATGTCGTCTGTACACAGCATTATCAAAATTAATAGCGGTAAATATAGTAAAAGCGCAAAAAATTCACAGAAATATTAGATTAGGGGCAATATTTTCCCAAACTTAAGATTTCTGGGTAGTTAAAAATATACACGCTTACGTTATATTCCTCAAGTAATTTTTACACATATGTTCCCAGTAAAAAATTAGATAAACACTAAAGTAAAAATACCAGAATTTCTTTCTCTCCAGATTTCATTCTCTTATGAAGCTTTGTAAAAGTTAAATATCTTATACTGATAAACGTTTCCTATTTCTTCTTTATCTTATCACACACACACAGATATATATATATATATATATATATATATATATATATATATATATATATATATATATATATATATATATATTTCTGGCCCTTTAGTGTTTTGTTGTTCAATTCGGTTCTGTTTTCCCGTTGTTCTCCTTTGTACGTATTATTTTCTTTTAATCTTCTTGTATTTCTTATTGTTTTCCTTCTATTTTATTAATCTCTATTTTTACAATCATGTTCATTCAACTATTTGGGCTTTACAACAGTTTCTCTTTCAATCGTCTCTCTGCTTATAAGAAAGCGGCGCCTCATATTCTGTGGTGAATTTCTTTGTCCAGTTTGCTCCAATTACAGTTTTTATTGGCCGCCATTCTTTAGCCACAACCACAATCAGCTCTTTGATTGGTTGAAGCACTAAAAAGTTATGACGATAAAGGCTAGTCGCCTGCTCTTTGAAAATGTTCTATGCCGCTTGGTTTCAGGCTGTATGGAACCGGCAACCAGTCAAAGAATTTCCGGAGTAAATTTGTGACCGTTTCTCTCCAATAAAATATTGTTATTCATGTTATTTTATTTCTTTTCATTTTATTTTTATAATACTAATACAAGACGGAAAATCCGTGGATGAATATCAGTTTGTCTGTCCGTATGTTACTCTGTATGTTCCATTTCATGATAAATAAATATCCTCGCTTTGATTGTTCAGTTAAATGTGTCTCTCGTCCGTTACAGATGTACGATTTTCTCCATTCATCTATTGAACATTTTCGAGAAATAACTCTACACGCATCCTCATTCATACGAGACAGATACTTAACGCAAGAAGGTTTAAATTGTTTCCTTACCCAAACTTTCTCAAGATTTTTATGATCGTAAATTGAGGAAAGTACAGTTCAGATCATTCTCAATAAGATTTCCAGGTAGTCTGTGAAATGACGCCATCACTGATTTCGTATTGTGTTCTTCTGTTAAGAAACACACTGAGAAGAAATTTCTGAGGTCAAAAGATTTTCTATCTATAGATCAAGAGTAATACTATGTGGAAAACATTTACACCTCTGTAAAGAATATTCTCTGTCCATCATCGGCAGTTATTATTTCCATACCACAATTATGCCTCTCATGGGATGGACATATTTTGTTTTTCTACATTCTCCAAGACCCGTATAAGACATTTGTCTATCAAGGATATAATAACAAGGATTTATCAACACCATAACCCAATGGAAGGAAAGATAAGAATACCTCGAAAAAAAATAATTCCAAAAGAAAATTTTGCCTGACAAGATTTTATATATAGCATGAAAATACGCATACATGTCATAAACACACACACACGCGCGCGCATCCGCCTATAAGTATATCTAATTAAATATGACAAAAAATATAAATACTAACTACATTATAATATAATATTATAATTTTAATTAATAATTACATTAGAAAAATCAACAACATTTACTTACTTTCGTTACATTAGAAATTAAATTACATCACTTTGCATTCTCCATAATTTACTTCGGCATTCATTTAGCTTAATGCTTTTTTTAACTCGCTCGGTAGTTAAGGCCCATATCAGGAATGAATAATCCCCACAGATAACAGGCCGTTCCGAAGGGCAACCTTAGCGCCGACGTATCTGAGTACAGAATGACCCGGGTAATGAAGGAAACAAGCACGTAGAAAATAAATGCAGACGCCAACGAGATGATTCAGAAGATGTCAGATATTCCAATGATGGAATGTTATATTGTAATCCTTTAAAGGAGAGCAATAGAAAAAAATAGAGCTTAAAAGTAATAGTAGGAATAGAATTAGCTTCTCAGGTTTAAATAGTAGTTAGGATTTGGAGGTATATACGACTAAAATGAAGCAAGATTTTGATAGGTATCAGGGTGACAACACGACGGATGAGAGTTCTGACGAGTAGTAGTAACCGCGATAGAGCGAAAATGAATAGACGATCCCCACAGACACGGGTGTGTGATAATCGACACCGAGTCAGTCGACCATTCAACCCCGTCGTATTTAGGGAAAAGAAAGGAGGAAGGAAATGTTGGACATATACAAACATCTAGCAGGAAGGGTGGGAACTGGTTCAACTAGTGTTGGAAATAATCTCATGTGTAATATAGATGAAAAGACAAGGGAAAAGAAAACAAAATAAGTGATTCAGTTAACGCGCTTATAGAAATTTCTTAAACGAAACTACATTCTGCCATTCAAGCATAATTGAGTCAATTCCAGAGATAAAAGCAGTAGGCCTTAGAAAAATGTTTGCTGTGAACACAGTGAAGAGCGAGCACTCCCAACTAAATCTCGCGTGAACATACACATGCACGCGAACGCGCACACAAGTACGCATGAACTGTGAAATGAAGACATATACAAATCTGTCGAGGATACCCCTCGACAGATTTGTATATGTCTTCATCTCACAGTAGTTAGTAGTAGTTAATCGTGATGGTAGATATACGCTAAGAACGAGGGCGAAGAAGAGTAGATGATCCCCACAGATAATCACAGTGACCCTGATTCAGGAAACCTTTCACACCCACACGAGGTACATAGGGAAAAGGGTGAGAACTGAGAAACTAGTTTTGAGGGAAGGTCACGTGGAATATAAACGAAAAGAAAAGGGAAAAAAGGGATTTAGTTAACGCGCTCGCAGAATTGCTTTAAACGAGACTATATTCTGCCATTTAAGCATAACTGAGCCAATTAGTTTTAAGAGATAAAAGCAGTCGACATTAAAAAAAAAGAAGAAATGTTTGGTGTAGACGCAGTGGACAACGGGCACGCCTAAGAAAATTGCGCGCACACATACTCACACATGGGCGCCAACGCGCTCACACGTACGAACAGAATAGAAGACATATACAAAGAAATTGTTAAAATAAGAGGCAAAATGTCAATTAACACTGTGTATTTCCAAATACACGTGCACCATTGAAGACGGACTAAACAAAAATGAAACGAAAAATATAATAGCCACATGTGCAGCTTTGAACAATTGCATTTTGTGTTCCTGCAACAGGTGCCATAAAGAATAACACACCACTAGAATAAGTTGCATGAAAAGACCCAACTCAAGAAATCGACTTTGTGTGATACTGAGAATACCAACACCGGAGATGCTCTTTACACCTTATGCATTTATGTTAATGGGAGGATAATTGTCATGTTTTATATTGTTGCACATTTCTGTAGAAGTTTATTTGCTGTTATAACATATGTATGAATGTATGTTTTATTTTATATAATATTCCTTTTGACTCGTGTATATGGCGCTGGTTCTGGAAGCATAGTGAGAGATGGACGAATAAGCTACAAGTCACACTTGGCAATCATTTAAAATACATATAACTATGTATTTTGAAAAAGAAAAAATGAAGGCGATGTTACAGATTGCGAAGGTCAGGGCCAGAATGGTCAGCGATAAGCCAAAGTGAATTTTAACCGTGGAATTCAGACAGTGATACATTGCCTTTATCTGGGTTTTGAATATAAGTTCAAAACGGCGCGAATTCAACAAAATGTCTCGAGAATTCTGACGCATCGATATGCCTCCCACACCCATGCTAGTGAACACAGAGGTACGCTGAGCCAGCGTGCGACATGCGTTCCTGTCACGTCAGTAATAATTCTACCTCTTAGAATCAACGCTACAAGGGTTAAATAAACGAATACCTAAAGTAAATGACTTTTTTCGTTGATAACATTTTTATTAATAGCGTGGTGATCCCGAGACGACCCAGAACTCAAGACAAGATTATTATTTTATTTGCAATATCACTTCACGCCATTTTGACAATAGATAAACTGCTATTTAAAATATGATATATATATATATATATATATATATATATATATATATATATATATATATATAATCTGATTCATGATTCTTACAACTACTGCAAATATACATTTTGAAATTGGTCGTAAAAGTTAAAATAACCCCGTTCTTTTTATTAATATTCCAGATCGACTCAATGTACCCAATGTTGATATTTCGTTACCGACATGCGATCGGCGATCTTCGGAAACTTGCATTCCACAACCATACAAAAAACGTAAAATAGAATAAACTAATAACATGACAATAAGAAGTTAGTTTAATGTCTTTTATCTGTCTTGCGTGTGTTTTGTAAATACTTCGTAATTCTGGAGAGAATTTGGTTGCTTGCGACACGAAATTATAGCCATCACTTGGGCCCCGCATTCAAAGATGCGTGCTACAGAAATTGCTTAATAAATTGCCATTCATTCACACACAAATACACGCACATACCACACCACTCACACACACACACATAGGTTGGTTTGTTTGTGAGTAAACATGTTTACTTTATGTCGTGTATGCATGTGGTGTGGAGTTAATAAAGAATAAAGGGTAAATGTTGTGCTGCTGTGTCTATAGCGTCGCTTTTTTGACATTAATATTTATTCGTGAGATTCTCATGAGATTCTCTTTTTAGCATATGTTTCTACAAATGCGAAGTCCAATATGATATACTTTGAATAGAACATTTTTTTTACAATCCTTTCGGCAATTATTTATTAAAAAATTCACTAACACATCCGAATGGTGTTCCTCGGTGTAAATAGTTGCTTTTATTTTGTTTCTTTTTTCTCATAATACACTGCGTAGCTTAATATGAATCTAAAAAAATCCCAAATGATTTTGCGCGTGTAAAATATAAAACACGAAAAATCATTTTAAAAACATACTGGGATCGAATGAACTATTTCATCCAGGCATTGGTCCTTGCCCATTGTAACATGATAGAAAGTCATTTCTTTAAACCGTTTTATATATAATGAATCTTCTTTTATGTCTCGTCTCCCTTCAGGGCGTAGGTGATAATGGCTCTCCACCTCCTCCTGTTTATTGTAACTTTCAATAAGTTTTGTCTTTTTATTATTTCTCCCAGACCCTCTTTTGTTATCTACTTAAGCTTCTTTAAGTATGACACGCGTTGCTTTCCCTTGTCCGTCATTCCCTCTATCCACCCTGTGAGAATCATATTTTCCAAGCCTTCCTTTCTCATTACGCGTCTTAGAAATTTCATCTGCCTTTTCCTGATGTTAAGTATAAGTTTTGTCTTTGTTTGTACCCACTTCAAAATCTCATCATTGCTCACATGTTGGGTCCACGGTATCCTAAGCATCCTTCTATATTTTTTTGTTTATAACGAACTTTTCCTATGTTTAAATATTTGGTTAGTTTCTGGAAGGCATCTTTCTCTATCAGATTGCGGCTTCGGATCTCTATATTATATTTGCAGACTAAAGTGTTTTTATAACTTAACATTTCAGTGAAATTACAAATAGAAAGATGGATAAGAAGTTGGTATGAGGAAGACAGAAATTAATAAGAATGGCAAAGTAAAAAAGGATACTAAATAATTCTAA